CACAAGATTGCACTGTATCCTTTAAAAAATTTAATCATATTTTTACTTAGCTTGTTGGTTTTGCTTGTAAAAGAAAATCTATAAAATATTTGGAAAGCAGCTTTGACTTGTGACTTTGTGAGTGAGAAAGAAGCATATAATCCAATCCTCTGCAGAATAACCAACTTTATTCCATCCATATCTTCTAAGAATAATCTTGGTTTTGTATACACGAAATCCATTTTTCTTCCTTTTCATAATAATAATTATTTGGAATCTGTATCTTTTTTGTTTTTTTACTTTTTGACTGACCATTTGGAAATTATTTATTTATTTCATTTTACTTTTTAAAAAAAAAAAAAAACAAAGAAAAATAGATTAATAAGTAACACATTAATTTTAAATACAATTAGGGTCGCTCGAAACCAAACTTAGAGGCCTAAGTCATTCGCTAAAATTTGAATTAATTATAAGGTTAACCATCTCAAAACATGACGAACTGACATACTACATATAGTTTGAATTAAAAATCATACACTCCTTGATGATAAAACCCACATAAGATAAGTCTTCAAACATGTTAGAGTATCAAGCTCCATGATGATATTATCCTGCACTTTTTTTTTTTTTTTTTTAACACTTTGAGAAATCACACTTTTATATGTCAGTTCAAAAGAGTGGTACTATATTTATCCGAATTTTATCTTTTCATATTTAATTATTATTATTATTATTATTATTATTATATTATTATTATTATTATTATTATTATTATTATTATTATTTGTATTTACCTACTAATAAATTGATTTCATTTTAAAGTGAGATGGGATTGACTCATTCAAAGGTAATTAATTAAAGGGATAAGGGTCAAATAGACCCTAACTATATATTAAAGTGTAATTAGACTCTTGAACTAAAAAAAAAAAAAACCTTCAATTAAACCCTTAAATTAGTTAAAATAGTGCAATTAACATATTTGACCTATAATAGCATGTTACCTTTAAGTCACCTGCCACGTAGAATTTCACGTAAAATGCCATGTCAATTAATATTTTAAGTTTAGTTTTTTTAAGTAAATTAATTATATTATGTTTTTTGAGACAGGGGATCCCTTCACGTGGTTTGAGACAGGGGATCCCTTGTCTCCTTATGTGTTTATCATTTGTGCTAAATGTCTTTATTTTTGTTACAACAGGTTCAGAATTCAGGAGCTATTCATGGTTTTAGGGTAACAACTAACAAGATGAGCACCTGTGATCTCACACTTATTTTTCGCAGATGACAATTTACTTTTCTTTAAAATCAATGCTCAGGAAGTAAAGCAATATAAAGCCTACATACCTATGAGTACCTTTCTAGCCAAGCTGTCAATTTTCATAAGTCACATGTTTGTTTTAGTAAAAACACTTCTGAGGAAGATCTTGTGTAACAAGTTTACTTGGTGTTGCTCAATCTGCTAATTTTGGTAAGTATTCGGGGCTTCACTGCGTTTGTAGGAAGGAATATACGTGTTGTTTTTTCATATATTGAGAATAAAGTTGAACCGGTTTTGGTGGGGTTCTAGTGGTGCAAATGGTAGAGGTATTCATTGGATTGCTTGGGTATCCCTGAGAAGTTTGGGGTTTTGGGTTTTAAAGATTGCATGGTTTTAACTTAGCTATGTTGGGGAAACAAAGGGTTGAGATTTCTTACTAAGCCACATTCACTGGCTGTAGGTGTTTATAAAGCAATGTATTTTCCTAACTCCTCTTTTATTGATGTCTCTTTAGGCAATCGTCCGGTCCCTATTTTTGTCGGAGTAGTATTATGGTTGCTCATGAGCTTATTTGTAGTGGGGTAAGACATAGAATTGTGAATGATGCTAAAACTATGGCTTGGGGTGATCCTTGGTTACATGGTGATTCAAATAAGATGATTCAGACCATAATGCCACATTATCTCTGTGGTACTAGCAGGGACGGAGCAAGAAATTCGGTTGAGGGGGCGAAGAAGTAGGGACGAATTCTGAATTTTTTTCAGTAAAGGCGAAACATTAAAACAAAAGAGATAATTTAAATAAAAAAACACATCTCATTATTAATATAAAAGAATGTTATATATATATATATACATACATATATATATATATATGTGTGTGTGTGTGTGTGTGTGTGTGTGTGTGTGTGTGTGTATTAAATATTAAAAAGGTATTAAAAACGTAACTGTGTTGAAAACATAGGGAGGGAGTTAAAAAAACTGTTATTGAGCCAAGTATAAAACTATGTTAATGCCAAGATTCAATCCCCTATCCTTTATCATAACTCAACATGTGTTCAACCAACTCTTGTTAACATTTAATAGTTTTATTGGAATAAGGGTCAAATAGGCCATTGAACTGCACACAAGAATGCAATTAGGCCACTGAACTTAAAAAACCTACAATTGGGTCCCTAAACTAACCAATTTCATTCAATTTGTCCATTTTTCAGGTTTCTCAAGTTGCTAACAAGTTACCCCTCCACCTAGGATGCATGTGTGTCATTTAAAAAAAAAATTAATTTTTTTTAAAAAATCTTAAATTAGTTTTTTTTAATGTTTAATAAATAAAAATTAAAATAATTTGTTTTTTTGAAAATAAAATCCAAGCCGTCTTAACAAATTATTTTATATTCAAAAAAAATTGTTTTAGTTTTTATTTATTAAACATTAAAAAACTAATTTAAAAATAAATTATTTTAGTTTTTATTTATTAAATATTAAAAAAACTAATTTAAAAATAAATTATATTTAAAACAATGACACATATGCATCCTAGGTGGAGGGGTAACTTGTTAGCAACTTGAGAAACTTGAAAAATGGACAAATTGAATGAAATTGGTTAGTTTAGGGACCCAATTGTAGATTTTTTAAGTTCAATGGCCTAATTGCATTTTCGTGTGCAGTTCAGTGGCCTATTTGACCCTTATTCCTAGTTTTATTTTACTAATACTAACACATGTACTATATATACATATATACATACAAAAATTATATATGGGGTGCATGGGGGTGGGGTGTGGGGGGGAGGGGGAGCAGCTGCCCCTCTTGGCTCCGTCCCTGGGTACTAGGATGACAGGTTTAATTGATCCCACCAAGCAGACTTGGACTTATCTCTGTTAAGAAATTTTCCTGCCTTGTGACATTGATCGTATTACATGCATGTTTACCATTGCGCCCGAATTATGAGGATTCATGCTACTGGTATGGAGATCCTAGAAATGTTATAATGTCAAAAATGGTTATAGAACCATAACGGGGGACCTTGATTTGCAACCTGTTGATTTTAAGAGTTGGACCAAACTTTGAAAATTGAACATCCCTCTCAAATGGAGGCCGGACCTTCCTCTAGAGAGCACTAAATGATGTGTTTTGTAGCACCACAAATTTATACCAAAAAAGGGTGGATGTAACTATGTGAAGCTCTCATGTCCAAAAGTGTGGGGGTCAAAATGAGGATATGATGCATGCATGCATTTATATATTTTGTGTGATTATTCCCAGCAGGTTTGGAATGAGTCTATGCTAGCTACCGCTGTCACGGTTGGAGGGAGTTTCTTTCTCAGGTTGGCTGGACATGTGTTGGAGCTTTGTTTAGCTCTTTATTATGTGCTAATCAAAATTCATTTCAAAAATTATTAAATATTTTAATCATAGACTATTATGATTAGATTTTTTTTTTTTTTAAATCACTTAATAAAATTGATAGACAAAAAAGTTGATTAATAGACAATCGATATATAGACAAATTTTGTGACATTCTAAATATTTAAATTTTTTGAGCAATAAAAATATAATGCATTAATATTGTGTCTATCTCCAAACATAAAGCATGTGAACGAACAAATAGTTTGGGTGAGACTTTTAAATAGGTTTAAAATTATAAACAAATCCTATTTGCAGGTGCAAATTTATAGTGAAATTGCACTAATATTGTGACTATCTCCAAACATAAACCATGTGAATGGAAAAATAGTTTTGGTGAGACTTTTAAATAGATTTAAAATTATAAACAAATTCTATTTGGTGCATATTTATAGTGAAATTGCACTAATAATATTGTGTCTATTTCCAAACATAAAGCATGTGAACGGAAAAATAGTTTGAGTGAGACTTTTAAATTGATTTAAAATTATTAACAAATTCTATTTAGTGAAAATTTATAGTGAAATTGCACTAATATTGTGTTTATTTCTAAATATAAATCATATGAACGAAAAAATAGTTTGAGTGAGACTTTTAGATAGATTTAAAATTATTAACAAATTCTATTTAGTATAAATTTATAGTGAAATTGAATTCTAATGAAAAAAAAAAGAAGATATATTCCAATTCTCAAACATTTTGAAACCCAAAATACTAAATATATAGTACATTTTGTGTGGGTGTGAATATATATACAATAAAGTTTTTATTTTTTTAAAGATTATTTTAGTTTCTCTAATTTTTTTCATGCATAGCATGAATAGATTATGAGTTTTAAAAAAAAAAAATTAATAAGGAACTAAAACTTTAAAAAGTATATTATTTATTTATTTTTATGAAATACCTCCAATTTAATATCTATATATCAACTTTAATAGTAACAAGTCATCGCATTATATAGTACTTGACTTACTTAACTTTACTTATTTAGCTTTAGTCAATTCAAACAACTATTGGGTAATTTCAACAATTAATTCTCAAGAATTATTTTTGCCACGTGTAATGCATAACTTTCAATGTCACATTTTGTTTTGTACAAATCTCTAATAGAAACTTAAAACAATTGAAATGCATCATATTTTTACTTTTGGATTACAAGGTAGTATATGTTCTATATTTTCTCTATCTATTGCTACGAAATATAACACATCGTGAAACATATATTGAATCTCAATCATCTAAGATGAATATATTAAAAAATAAATAAATAAAACATATATTGAATCTCAATCATCTAAGATGAATATATTAAAAAATAAATAAATAAAAAGTAGTAGAAGAAGAAGAGTGCTTATCAAGCTAATTTAAGGACAAAATAAAATTGTTCCTTTTAGATGTGTATATGACAATAATAACCAAAATGAACATAACCGCGATACTTACGTGGGATTTTTACTTTCGTCCATTTTTTACTCTTCAATTCTAGCACATAAGCACTATGAATTTCACCACCTTTTGTATTTATCACCATCATATTCCCCTGCCACCCTGTCACATATGTCACGTCGGATGTAGAGTCGGGGACGCGCGTGACGAACACCCATGTGTCGTCCTCTAATGCAACCACGTCACATCTTTTCCTGATTTTGTATATTACCCTGTCAATCTCCACGTCGTTAGCCTGCAACCATATGTCACGGTCGCTTACGTGCCATTGTCGGGTGACAAAGTCGAGTGTTTCAGTGGTATGACAACTGTCGACGTGGAACTCACCACATTGGAACACGCACGTGCACACGTATCGCCCGATTGACATGTCCGACAACGTCGTCCACGTGTCCCTTGCCACGTCGTACGCCAACGTTGATTTCAGCGCTAAGGTAGTGGTCGAGCTCCGTCCGCCGGCGACCACCACTGTCCCGCCATCCTCCGACGCCGCACATCCGAAGAACAGGCGGTCCTCGCCTGGCATATCGGCGCCGCGCCTCCACGTGGCGGAGAAGAAGTTGTAGATGAAAACTGAATTCAGATACCGCCGTGTCACCGGATCGCACCCCCCTATCACCGCCAGCTCCGCCCCAATACCGACCACGCTACATAACACCGGCATCCTTTCCACCACCTCCGGTATCGGCGGAAAATCATGCCAACGCCTTTTCACCGGGTCGAATAGCGTGAGCCGGAAACCCACTGTATCCAATCTGCTTAAACTAAACCTTGACTGACAGATGGCAATGACAGGTCGGGTTAGACCAGAAGCTTTCCGGCGCCGGAGGAACTCCGGCTGCTTAATCACAGCTTTCCATGCTCTACATACAGATGAAGCCTTGGGAAACTGATCAAACGAAATCCGAATAAGACATTCAAAAGCTAAGACGTTGGGAAGACCGGGAATCAGCTCCATTGCAAGAAAACAGAGAAAAGCAAGTGATCGGAGCAGAATTATATTGCAGATTATTATATTTCAGAGTTTTGGGTTGGGTTCTTGAAGATGAAAGGAAACAATAAATAGCGTCTTTATTAAGCTTTGGGGCCAAAACCAATGTAGCTTTGTTAGGGTTGCCGAATTCTAAGTTGTATGGGATCCAAACTTTTAGAAACTTCTTTACAATTTTGGAATTATTCTATTCAAATTTTTACAAGTCCTAATACTATTTGATTTAAACTTCTAAACAAATTAAAAAAAGTAAAATAGTATTCAATTTGGACTTTGGTATTCGTGCTAGTTAAGATAAAAACATCTTATGAATTTTTAACAAATTAATATTTTCTCTCTAAATTCATTTTTATTACTTTTTTAAAAAATAAAATTAATAGTATAAAAATATATCATTAAAAATTTTAAATGATATTTTTATTTAAAAAAATAGAAATATTGGTTTTTTTTTTGTTTTTTTAATTAAGCTATAATTATATTAAATCACTGTCAGTGTAAATTTAGGTTACTTAAAAATATAAAAAAAAATTAATATCAATGTCATTTAAAAGATCTCAATTAGAGTTGGGTAATAATATATTTTTTATATATTAATTTTATTTGTATAAAAAGAAAAAAAGTACATTTAAGTTTTTTTAAAAGAAATTATGAAGTAAAATATTCAATTATTCAGAGTTTTGGGTTGGGTTCTTGAAGATGAAAGGAAACAATAAATAGCGTCTTTATTAAGCTTTGGGGCCAAAACCAATGTAGCTTTGTTAGGGTTGCCGAATTCTAAGTTGTATGGGATCCAAACTTTTAGAAACTTCTTTACAATTTTGGAATTATTCTATTCAAATTTTTACAAGTCCTAATACTATTTGATTTAAACTTCTAAACAAATTAAAAAAAGTAAAATAGTATTCAATTTGGACTTTGGTATTCGTGCTAGTTAAGATAAAAACATCTTATGAATTTTTAACAAATTAATATTTTCTCTCTAAATTCATTTTTATTACTTTTTTAAAAAATAAAATTAATAGTATAAAAATATATCATTAAAAATTTTAAATGATATTTTTATTTAAAAAAATAGAAATATTGGTTTTTTTTTTGTTTTTTTTTTAAATTAAGCTATAATTATATTAAATCACTGTCAGTGTAAATTTAGGTTACTTAAAAATATAAAAAAAAAAAAATTAATATCAATGTCATTTAAAAGATCTCAATTAGAGTTGGGTAATAATATATTTTTTATATATTAATTTTATTTGTATAAAAAGAAAAAAAGTACATTTAAGTTTTTTTAAAAGAAATTATGAAGTAAAATATTCAATTATTAAGATTACAATTCTAAAATAAATTTCAAAATCTCTAAATCAATCAAGACCGATGAATTAAAATCACCAATTAAATCATTTCTCACCAAGGCACCAACAATGAAATACTACACGTCTTAATAAATAGCTATGATACGGAGTACTATTTTTAGAATATTGTAGAAACCAAGGTTCGAACCTCGGCGGCGGCAGTGTGGGAATTATGTCCAAAGTGGGCAGATTCCTTGTGCGCACCGGCATTTGGCCCTGCCTACTAACCCATTGAGTCACCGTGATTTATGATGGGGTGTGAACCCCGTGGGCTCGGGGCCCAAGAAGAAAAGAGATAAAGCCCAGACAAAGAAGGGAAGCCCAAGAAGAAAATGGAGCAAGCCCAAAAGAGATACGAGCCAAACCGAGGAGTCGGTTGGCCCGGGAGTCGGCTCGACCCGGAGGTCGGCACGGGTAGAGGGTTGGACTAACTAGCCGTTATTCCTAATTATCTACCCTTAAAAGTCCTATTTATCTACCTCATCCATAACCCCCAAATAAAGGCTACCTATTAAGTCTCCCACTTATTACCCCACTAATAACCAAGTTAATACCTATTAACTACCCTACTAAATGGTCCAACGGACACTTTTGGGGATGGGCTAGCTATAAAAGGAGGAGAAGACAAGAAGAAAGGGGGGGGGGGGGGGGATCCACTCACTCATACACACATAGGAGGACTCTCCCAAGCACTCTTCCTACACACTTGAAGACTACTATCACTCTCCCACAACTACTCTCCCAAGAAGGCCTCATTCCACAACATACCAAGAAGGCTCCACCACTCATCCATACAAATGGAAGGACTCTTCCACACCATTCCATCACTCTTCTTATATTATTATTGCTATATTATTAGAAACACAACACTTTGTGTAGAGAATAGCCCTACAAGTATGTACAAAGACACCTATAAAATACATAGTGGAATTAGGCTTGTCACCGCCCAAAAAGGCCCGTGGTTTTCACCTTTCGGTTTCCACGTACAAAAGCATTGAGTTATATTTTTCTACTTATTTTTCTATAAACATCATGTGAAAGGTGAATCCACCGACCAAGGTTGTGTTGGACCTCCTTGGGCCCGAAAACCCAAAAACCAACAATTTACATCCTCCCACAAGCTCTGTCGGGTCGGAGGTGGGGGGCCCTTAGGGCTGGGGATTCAGTCTTTGGGGTAAGAATATTGTAGAAACTCAACGAAAAAGTATTCAAAAGTCAGTAAAAGTATGTTTGACATATAGATTTTCATAGACTTTAATAAAATTCATAAAATTTTCCTAATAATTTAAACGCTCTCTTAAATTCTTAATTTAAACTCTTTACATGTATAGTATAGGGTAAATCCATCTAAGTTGGTCAATTTGTTAACTGGATTAATTATAAGTTTAACTCTCAACGAGAATGATCTAATTGGCCTTCTTGGTTTGAGCCGATCAATATTGAGCAACCAATTGTAATTTACCTCTATGTGGTCATTTGTCAACTAAGATCATAACGCGGAGTTTACTCATCAATACACACCCTCGTAGGTTTCCCTCGTCACCCAAACTCCGTTAAACTACATAGTATATCTATTGATAAATCTAGAAAACTAAATCTAAAACTAAACTCTTAAATACATAAAAGCGAACCCCTAAACCAAATTTTTTAAAAAATATCATAAATTTTAAAAGGTGAACTTTGAGTTGAATAATTTTCATACTCAGTGCATGCAACTAATGATATCGTTAGGTGCATTTTATATTATTGTTGGGTGTATTTTGTGTATTTTGAGTCTGTTTGGCAGAGCTTATTTAGGAGCTTATAGCTTATTTTAAACTACTAATAAGCTATAAGCTATGTTTGGTAATGTTAATCAAAATAAACTCGTAGCTTAAAATAAGAGCTTATTTTGGAACATTACTTTAGATAGCGTTTCAAAATAAGCTACTAGCTTCTTAACTTCTTCTTCTTTTTTTTTTTTTTTTTTTTTCAATTTTGTCCTTATTATTTTAAAGAAATGACATCATTTACCTCTCAATTAAAACCATTTTCTCTTCTCCTTTATCCGCAAGTTTCACCACAAATATTATTATTATTATTATTATTATTATTATTATTATTATTATTATTATTATTATTATTATTATTATTATTATTAGATGAAGGAGATTTGCAACAATATTACTACTTCATTATAGGATGCTAGGTCATGATTATGCTAATAGTTTTATTTCAAAATGTTATTTTTTTTTGAAGACGAAATGTTAAATTTTAATATGTTTAAATTTTATGAAGATATCTTTTTTTGTCTTTTTACATTTATCAGCTTATCAAAAAGCTAATTTTACCAAACACTTCCAAGCACAACAACTAGCTTAATCGCTTTTCAGTTTTTAGCTCCTAACTTATAGTTTTTCAGCTTTCTGCTCCTTTTTAGCTTTCAGCTACCTCTCCAGCTAAATTTGCCAAACATAGCATTTATATTGTTACTAAGGCTCTGTTTGGCAACGCTAAGCTAGGAGCTTATAGCTTATTTTAAGCTACTAATAAGCTATAAGCTCTGTTTGGTAATGTTCCCAAAATAAGCTCCTAGCTTAAAATAAAAGCTTATTTTGGAACGCTACTTTAGGTAGCTTTTGAAAATAAGCTACTAGCTTCCTAACTTTTTTTCCATCTTTACCCTTATTATTTTAAAGTAATGACATATTTTAACCTTATGAATTAAAACCCTTTCTCTTCCCCTATCCCAACTTTCACGTCAATCCCTTCATCTTTAGCTTATTATTATTATTATTATTATTATTATTATTATTATTATTATTATTATTATTATTATTATTATTATTATTATTATTTTTAAATTAGCAATATGGTTTCAACCAATGACAATATTTCTACTTCATTATGGGATGCTAGATCATGATCATGCTAATAGTTTTATTTTAAAAAATGTTTACTTTTTTTTGGAAGACAAACTATTAAATTTTAATATGTAAACAAATTAATTTAAATTTTATGAAGATGTCCTTTTTAGTCTTTTTACATTTATCAGTTTACCAAAAAGCTAATTTTACCAAACACTTTCAATCATAACAGCTAGCTTAACAGCTCTTCAATTTTCAGCTCCGAGCTTATAGCTTTTCAGCTTTCAGCTCATTTTCAGCTATCAGCTCCTAGCTTATAGCAATCGTTATATCCTACACCACGGCGCACATAGCACTGTGCGCCGCGCGCCTCCCAAAACGACGTCGTTTTGGAGTCGTGTTGGGAGGCGCGGTAGGAAGTTGCTGAGATTATGTGTATTCATTCACAACGTTATGTGTATTCGTTCACAACGTTATGTGTATTGGTTCATACAGTTATGTGTATTTTTTATACAATTATGTACATTATTTTTATACAATTATGTACATCCGAATCAGAAAATTTGTGTGTATTATGTTAAGAGTTGATGTGTATTATGTTAAAAGTTTATGTTTATTATGTATTATGTTAGATTATGTGTATTATCTTTTAAAAAGAGTATGTATATTTTGTTATAACATTATGTGTATTCATGTATAACATTATGTGTATTCAAGTATAACATTATGTACATTCTTGAACAGCGGGTTTTTTTTTAAAGAAAAGCCTACTGCCATTCACTGGGGCGGGAAATTTCAAAAAAAAAAATAATTAAAACGACGTCGTTTTGCATCTGGGCGCATAGTGCAATGTACGCCGTGGTGTAGGATATAAATTGCCAGCTTATAGCTTTTCAGCTAGGTTTGCCAAACAGAGCCTAAGTGTACTCTAAAAGCAAATTATAACTATTAAACTCTAACAAACCGTTTGGTTGCAAGGAAAAAATTAGGAACTAAAGGAATTGTTATTCGG